GTTCTGCCTTCCACATTAAACTGGGAAATCCTGGGGGACAGAGATTTGTCTTCTTTGTCTTCTGGACCCCAAGTATTCACAAATCAGGATTGACACATAGTTCTTAATGTTTATGAACCAATACCAGACAGGGGATACTAAACGATAATGGGAAATATAGATCCATTCCTATACCACTAGTCTGGAACTATCGGTACTGATCCTCAAGGAGGCAGGTGTGTGGTTGGTACTTGGGGGACAGAGGGAAGAGCAGACACAATCCCTGCACTTGCATTGAGCAGCCAGTGTCCTTGAGGAACAGAGACAAACACAAGAAACCATTTGGAAGTGATGTAAATTTCCAAGCTTCATGATGACCAGAAGTTGAAAGTGGGAATGAGGTTGGGAGAGAGGTACTCAGATCCCTCTGGAACTCTTCGCCTTTCGTTGTGACCCTCAGTTTGCCCTACTCCTATTTTAGAGATCTAGAACTTTTGGGAGGAGGGGAAACCTTTTGCCTGTAGGACCCTTGACTACCAGCACCAATATTGCTTTCTTTTCTCCTTCCCTCTAGGATGTCAAAAGTACCCTGGAAAAGTAAGTGATTCCTGCATCTCTTTAAGTGAGTTAGGTCTTGGCTTAGAGACGTGGAGTACAGTGAGGAGTTGGGAGAATAAGGATGGAAAAGCCAGGCAGTTTCTGGGTAGGATATGGGAAGGTTTATTACATCAGTAAAGCCAGTTAGAGAGCAGTCATTGGGAATAATAACCCCTTACCATTTTCCCGTTGAGCGTCAGGACATCTTTGTTAAGGATGATATTGAGGTAATGTAGAACCAGATTCTACCTGTGCCTATTTGTGGAATTGTGTCCAAACAAGATGGAAGGAGGAAGGGGTTGGGAGAAGGGAGGGTAATTACCATTTGCATGAAATATAACAATATCCCCAGAAAGTTCTGAGACTCATTCTTAAGGATTTGTCCAAGGGACCATATGGCTCTCCATAGATTGGCAAAAGAAAGCAATATGTAAGTGTTTGTCCTCAATAGGAGGGAGAAAGTGGGAGGATGGAGCTTCCCCTGACCCTGCCCTTTCTTCCCCTATCTCCCTGTCCCTCCTAGATGTGAAAAGGTGAAGACCATGGAGGTGACTTCAGTATCCATACAACTTGAAAAGAACTTCAGCAATTTCCCCCGACAGTACTTTGCCCTAAGGAAAATACTTAAACAGCTAATTGGTGAGTTGTTCCCAAAAGGAAAGGAACAGAGGCAATAGGCAGAGAGGAGAAAATGTTTAGGTCCTACTTTATCTGAACTTCAGTTATCCCATCTGTTGCTTCCCATTCCCATACCCACACCCACCCCTTTACCTGGCTTTAGGTCACTCAGAGTCACAGAACACTTTAGTGAAAAGCCTCAGGTGTCCTCTACTCTTAGGCCCATACTCTTCTGAGTAGGGACTAAGGAAAGTTAAATAATTCGCCTAAAACTTGTTCGCTCTTGAGAGTGAAAGAGGATGTCATTAATATTTACTCAGAGAAAATAGTCATAAACCAAGAGTATCCCCAGACCTTGATGGTGTCTTTTCTGTATCCTTCTCAATATACATTTTCCATTCTTGCTCTTGTACTCTGCCTGGTGCTTCCCTGCAGTGAGATGATGGTTTCAGGGACCATGTAGGGAAGGTCAGGCATGAGGAGCATAAACCATCAGCCCTTGTAAGATCAAGAGCACATTATTTGCTTATTTTAGGGCTGGGGTGAAAAGTGAAGCCAGTGTTCCCTCCCCGCCCTTAGGTGACACCGTGAATTAAGAAAGTTAATCAAACCACAGCATTCTGGGGACTTTTAAAGGAACAGGCTCTGTAAGGCAGGCTGGAAGAGTGAGGCAGGGGTGTTGAGCTATTCCCATCCTCATCTAGCTCCCCACTCTGGCTTCTCCCGCCAGCGGATGTGACCCTGGACCCTGAGACTGCTCATCCTAACCTAGTTCTGTCAGAAGATCGTAAGAGCGTCAAGTTTGTGGAGACAAGACTCCGGGATCTACCTGACACACCACGGCGTTTCACCTTCTATCCTTGCGTCCTGGCTACTGAGGGTTTCACCTCAGGTCGACACTACTGGGAAGTGGAGGTGGGAGACAAGACCCACTGGGCAGTGGGTGTGTGCCGGGATTCTGTGAGCCGAAAGGGCGAGTTGACCCCACTACCTGAGACTGGCTACTGGCGGGTGCGACTGTGGAATGGGGACAAATATGCAGCCACCACCACGCCTTTTACTCCTTTGCACATCAAGGTGAAACCCAAGCGGGTGGGCATATTCCTAGACTATGAGGCCGGCACACTGTCTTTCTACAATGTCACAGACCGCTCTCATATCTACACCTTCACTGATACTTTTACTGAGAAACTGTGGCCCCTCTTCTACCCGGGCATCCGGGCCGGAAGGAAGAATGCTGCACCACTTACCATCAGGCCCCCAACAGATTGGGAGTGACAGGTAGGGACGTGGGAATAACTGGAATGAGGCAGGACCAAGAGCAATGGGCCTTCCTTCCTGTGACCTGCTGGAATGTCTTCATGTCTGCCTGGTTCCAGTCCTGAACCATCTGGGAGAAACACCTTGATTTCTAGAATGGTTTATGTGGAGGAGTAGGTAGGACTGGTCTAGGATGAGAGCACAGCTATGTCTCTCCCCAACTGTCCCAGTGAGGAGCTAGTTCGCAGGGGATTACCTCCCCTCAAGTTCATCAGGTTTTTTATTGCACAGGACAGGTTGCAAAGGAAGGAAAGGCTTTTCCAGAAACAAGAAATCTCTGGGAGAGTCTGACATGCTCAAACCAGAGGAGGAAACAGAAGCCCCTGTACATAGGGGGTTATTTGACCCAGAATAGTTGTGTTTCTTGAGGAAGAGCACAGAGGTATGTATACCTCTAGATTGAAATAAAAATTAATGACAGCTGCTTTCATGGGTCTAGAAGTTGAATTTTTCTGAGAGCAGAGGTTGGGCATCAAAAGTTTAGAAAGAAGGTCAGGAAAGGGAACTAAGGGAGCAAATCCCTAGAGACAAATGAAGGGGAGAGGGTTTCTTTGGTCTTTTATCCCCAGAGTGAGGTTGCCATTGTCAGTAGATTGGCCAGAGGAGAGGGTAAGAATGCAAAAGAGGAGAACCCAGGTCCCTGTCTCAGACTTCAACAGAAGTGGCTTATTGCCTGCCTCCTTGTAGTTGATTGTCTCCAAGAAGTCAGTCATCTTTTTCGTGGGTGAGGTGCCAGAGATCCTGCAAGACAGTCTACCCCTTAACTGCTTTACCAAGGGAACTTGGAAAGGAGAGAGTCAGGTATTAGAGAAAGAAAAATGGATTTCTAGCCAAAGCTCTGACCTTAAATAATGTTACTAAATAATTACTCCCAAGTTGTTAGCCTTATTACTTGGCTAAGGTGTCCAAGCCAGAAAGGAAGAAAGGAAATGGAGTCTTCCTCACTCTAAGGACAAGGTAGAAGAGGGTGGTGTGTATACGGAAGGGCGAGATGGGCAACTTCCTTGAGCCTGTATGCATCTGGCCTGGAACTAGTTTTCACAAGAGCCAGTCATTTGCTTGTTTGCTGCCATCCTTCACTATTTGCCATTTCCTCTATCAGAGAATGTAAATCATTTAATATTAGGCCAAAATAAACAACCTGTAGGGTACACGTGTTTTCCAGAAAGGTAAAGTAATACATGCCAAACCAAATTAAAATGACTTAGACTATCTGCTCCTTGGGTAATGGGGTTCACAGAAGGTTGGGACAAGAAACTGCAGCTTAGTGAGGGCATTTCACTTCCTCCTACCACCTCAACAGGACTTTGTTCACACTCTCTTCTTACCTTTGTGCCTTGACTGTGGTTCTTTGTGGCAAGATGCTTTGATTGGTAAAACAACATGGAACAAAGGATCCACTAAAGTGATCTCTGTGTTAATGTGGTAATTTGACGACCGTTTCTGTTGATGTATAAGAATCACTGAGTTAAAAATGCATGTTCCTGGGCTTACCCTTAGTGATTGATCAAGGTCTGTGGTCCACCTACATTGTAGGCATACACTTCTTTCATTTGAGCCTGGGGACACTTGTAAAACTTACCCCTGAGGAGGTTTTAGCCACTTTTTCTGAGCTGGAGGCCTGGTCCCCTACCAAGCCTGATGGGGTTTGAGAGGATAGGAAGGTCTCACTCTCCCCTGATGTAGGCTGCCCTCTTCCTCTCTCAGGGGTCATTCATGTTCTGCTCCTCCAGCTCACATCCCTCTACTCTGATCTCAGGAATTGGTGGCCCTTAACTATGAAGCAGAGGCAAACAGGATGCCAAACAGAACAAATGGGACACTGAAAGGTCAGAGGGGGAGGGATTGCAATCCATGTCTGTCTGTATTGGGTGTGGGGTATAGTTTCAGGGGCAGGAGGTACTGCTGTAAGGTTTCTGTGCTCAAGCACCTATGACTAGGAGTTAGTGAGGATCACCTGCTGTATGTTTAGCACTGCAAAACAGGAAATATGTATGTTTGGAAAAGAGCTGTGCTTTCTGATTGCCTGGATCCCCTTCCTTACCTCCACCACCCTCGTGATCCTTTCGAATTTCACTCCCACTGATACATTTTTTTTAATGTATAACCTCTGTTCCTTCTACCTGTAGATCTGCTAGGTATCCACCTTTGGCTTCATAGAGTAGGGAAGAAGGTCTCTCTGGGTATAAATTGCACAGAACCATCTCCCTACCCTAGCTGCCAAAGGACTTGTCTTCTGTCCTGAAGATGTATAGCAGTTTGAGATCCTCTCCTGTTTTACTAGCCTCACCTACCTCGTATCATTGGCTTGAATGAGACTAGAAGGAAGCTAGAACTCACACAGGGTCCCTGGGTTAGAATGCAATTCAAACAGAGGGGTCTGTGAGGCCGCAGGGTGGTGCCAGAGTAAGGACCGCAGTGAGCGCCTGGTGCTCTGGGAACTACACGTCCCAGGAGGCCTTGCGCTGTCGCTGGTGCGTGCCTGTTTACGGGGTGGGGCTGGCGGGCCTGCAGTACCGGGCTCTTTGCTTCCAGAATGGCGGGGCCGGTGAAGGACCGGGAAGCTTTCCAGAGGCTCAGCTTTTTGTACCAGGTGAGTCTGCGAAGGGGACGCTAAGGGAGGGCCCCGTTGCCGCCAGCGGCTGAGTGACCGCCCCTCCCCTAGGCTGCCCACTGCGTCCTCGCGCAAGACCCCGAGAACCAGGCGCTGGCGAGGTTCTACTGCCAAACGGAGAGGACCATTGCCAGGCGGCTCGTGTTGCGGCGGTGAGAGGCGAGGGGCACAGCGGCCTGCGGGCCGGGGTGGTGTAGGGAGAGAACGCAAGAGCGGGCGTGCACACCACCTTCCCCTCCTCCCGTAGGGACCCCTCGGTGAAGAGGACCTTATGTAGAGGCTGCTCTTCCCTCCTCCTCGCAGGCCTGACCTGCACACAGCGCCAGAGACGTGAGTGCGCCTGTCCGCCTGTCCGCCTGTCCGCCTGTCCGGGTGGGATAGGTAGGGAGCACTGTAGGGCAGGAGACTCTTCCTCGCCTTGGATGGTTATCTGCTCAGAGATTCCCAGGAGCCGACTTTGTCCCGCTCTGAGTTAAGTTGTTAACTCCACCTGGGCAGGAGAGATGCCAGATGAGGCAACCTCGCCCGTGTGTAAGAATAGATGTTATTTGGCACCGTGGCGGATGATTCATTGCCATTCATGCATCAAATATTTTTTTTCCTAAGATGTGCCAAGTATTCTACTAGATTGACTATTCTCATTGAAGGTACAGTATGATGGGACAGGCTAAAATAGCAACAGTTAAAATAGTGTAGAAAAATTCTTTAATTGGGGAGTAAAATGCTGAGTTACTTATGCAGGTGGTGAGATTCATGATAAGACAAGATTTAGGAGATGGAAATTCCAACTTTGTGTGTTAACCTTGAGAGGTTGTGGTTCTGTGAAGAAAAGGAGAGTTTAGGAAGGAAACAGCAGATCTTACAGAATTTTGTAAAGGAGTTTGGACCTCATGTTGAAGAGCACCAAGAAATTGATAGTTTATGCAGGGATCTTGCACTATCAAATTTGCATTCAAAATGGAGAGGTGGAATTCCTACTAGAAAAACAGTGGAGACAAAACTGGGTGCCGAACACCTTTACTTCTCCTAAACCAAGGTACTCTCTCCCATTTTCCCACTTTCATTCCAGGCTGCAGGGGACAGCGCTGGACAGTACAGACCTGTCTAACATGTCAGCGCAGCCAACGGTTCCTCAATGATCCTGGACATGTGCTCTGGGGAGACCGGCCTGAGGCCCAGCTAGGGAGCCAGGCAGGTGAGAAGAAGACAAAAATGGGGAATATGCCAGGGGGATAGGAATGATGGGAGACAGAGGCTGAAGAGGACACATAGGTGAGTTCTGAGTTGGCATGAGAGGTGTCACAGCCTTAGGAAACTAACTCTGCTCATCTATCCAGATTCCAAACCACCACAGTTCCTGCCAAACACACCCCACCTTGCTGAGGAGAAGATACAGCCTCAAAGCTCCAATGACCAGAAATGGATTGAATCTTCCAAATAAAGTATAATTCTGTTTCGCTTTGATGAGTCTGTAAGTATTTCAGCTCTTCATTTTCTTCTGTTTCTGCCTGTATTCTCTGTCACCAGCTAATCTCTCCTTTCTCCTTTCTCATTCCCCTACTCCCACCATTCAGGGAGATTCAGTTTCCCTAGACAACCTAGCCCCACTAAGCAACTTGCATATCCAAGATCCTTGTGCGCCTTCACACCTGCTTCCAGTGCAGGGCGATGAATGCAACTCAAGCTCTAGAATTGTCTCCAAGGGAGCTGAGCCTGCTTAGGGCATTCTGTAGTTAAATAGCCTGACTAAAAGGATGAACAGACTGCTGATGCCGCAGAAGCTGTTTTTAAATGAAGGAAAAAATTTGATGGAGGAGGAACTTCAGATACTCTCAGCCCACTCCAGAGATCGTCTTTTTCAATCTCTGGGTTTTCTTCTTTAGAATTCTAATAAGGGAAACTGTACAAACACAACTAACAAGGTCAAAGGTGATATCAAAAGGACACTGGCAAACATTATCCAAGTGTGTTCCATAAGTATACCCTCAAGGTTTTCCTGATAATTCGTAAACAACAAAAATAGTTTTTTTCAGTATTCCTACAGTTGCTAGGTGCCAACTAATCAGTTTACCCCAAAAGTATACAAAAAAATTTTACTATTCCCAGAATGCAGTATTCTTCCCTTTCTCTTATGAATCCTGTGTTGCACTTACTTACTGTTGCATTAAAATCAACAACTTCATTAAAACACTTTATAATGTTGAGGCTGCCTGAGGGCTTGGCTGGGTGGTTCTTCTGTTCCAAATAGCACCACCTGGAGTCACTGTGCTGCATTTAGCTGGTGGCTGGTACCTGGCCTGGAAGATCCAAGCAGCTTCATTGTGCACGTATGGCACCTCATTGCTTCTTCACGCGGCCTTGCTATAGCTGGCTTTGACGTCCTCACAGCTTGATTGTCTTAGGATGGTTAGACATTTTTTCCAAGAAGACAAGGTGCAAGTTCTTACCAAGCCTCTCTTCTCACCGTGCTTGCTAAATAAGGTCCCCTTGACCAAAGCAAGTCACATGGCCAAGCCCACATTCAACACCAGAGCATGAATAGTGGGAAGTCCATTGGTTCCCTGGGGACTGCTGATACAGCAGTATACCACATTCTTGTTTTGTCTTTGTCCCTGACTCAGTCTCTCCATTTACTCTGTTACATGTCTAAATTATTCACATGGAAAATACTCAACAGTATGTAAGTAACTAAACGTTTCTGAGTTATCCTTTCACAGTTTGTCTCTGGCACTAATGCCTACTTGGACCAACTGTAGCAGACAATGGAGACGTATCCTAGAGAACTTTCTGTAGCTAGAAGGAGAGGTGGGTCAGAAGCAGAAGCCAGATTCAAAGCTTGAGGAGGTCTCAAGGGGTAGTTGCTAGTTTGATGATGGAGAGGACAACATGATGAGGAGTTCAGGTGGCTTTCAGGAGCTGAGAGAGGCTCCTGGCTGACATCCACCAACAAAACAGGAGCCTCATCCCTGCAGCCAAAATAACTGAATTCTGTCGACATCCTGAATGAGCTTGGAAAGAGACTCTCCCTCAGAGCCTCCAGATGAGAGTCCAGCTCATCAACAACTTGATCTCAGCCTGTGAAACCTAGGCCAGAAGAACCATCTGAGTTCACCAGACTCCTGACCTTCAGAACTGGGCTGGAACATTGATCTTCTTTTGCCCTTAGACTGGGACTTACACTTCTGATTCTCCTGGTTCTCAGGACTTTGGACTTGGACTGGAGCTACACCACTGGCTTTCTTGGGTTTCCAGCTTGCAGACTAGAGTTTGTGGGACTTCTCAGCCTCCGTAACTATGTGGGCCAATTTCCCATGATTCCTGTCTGTCTGTCTACTATTCATTCTGGTTTTTTGTAGAACCCTGACTAATACAGTGTATATGTATATTTATGTACACACACGTATAACATGACAGGATTTCAGTTTCTTTATATATTAAAACTGGAAACACAGGTGATGAAATATTTTTTCACCCTCTTGCTGGAAAGGAAAAGTATAAAAGCCAGTAACACTTTGAGTTTTGAAGAGAATACCAGTAGTAGCTCCAAACACTCATCTTGATGACAGAAATGAATATTTGATACAAGAATGAATTTCTTCCTGATTACTCTAGCCTTATGGTATATTTTGATATCAGGCAGCATGATACCTCCAACTTTGTTTTTCTTTTTCAAGATTACCTTGGCAATTCAGGGTCTTTTGTGGTTCCATGCAAATTTTAGGATTATTTATTCTAGTTCTGTGAAGAAAGCAGTTGGTATTTTGATAGGGATTGCATTGAATCTATATAGATTGAGTAATATGGACATTTTAGCTATGTTAATTCTTCCTACCCATGAACACGGTATATGCTTCCATTTATTTGTATCTTCTTCAATTTCTTCATTGCCTTATAATTTTCTGAGTACAGACCTTTTACCTCTTTGGTTAAATTAATTCCTAGGTATTTTTTAAAAATATTTTATTTAGTTATTTAGTTATTTATTTTTAGAGAGGAGAAAGGAGGGAGAAAGAGGTAGAGAAATATCAATGTGTGGTTGCATCTTGCATGCTCTGCTCCCTGCTGGGGACCTGGCCTGCAACCCAGGCACATGCCCTACACTGGGAACCAAACTGCTGACCCTTTGGTTCACAGGCCGGCACTCAATCCACTGAGCCACACCAGCTAGGGCTATTCCTAGGTATTTTTTATGCAATTGTAAATATAATTGTTTTCTTAATTTCTGTTTCTGATAGTTTTCTATATTGATGCGATGATTTCTGAATATGAAAGAAAGAAAAGAAAAACATGTAGCCTAAAAGTGTGCATCCCGTGCAGACGTGGACCCTTTTCATCTTCAGCTTCCCTTCCTCAGCTGGGCGCACAAGTCTCATTTCTGAGCTTGTTGGCTCTTGTACGCTAAATCTGAAGTCTCTTTCGACTGTGATTATGATTGCACATGACTGCACATGCTCACAGTGGGATGGGAGTGGAGGAACTCTGAGTTTTGATCTCCTGGCTGAGTCATTGATTCCTTTTGTGTGGGAGACCATAGGAATCAGGTCCCATTTGGGAGGCACATGAAACAATGTGGACCATGGTTCGCTTATGACTCTGGCTTGTTGATCTGTTTTATGTTTGCGCTAGTATAGGTCCCTCTAACTAGAGATCACTGCCCTCTTACCCTTTCCAAAACTCTGTCCTTTTTCATGTTTACTTACTATGACATGACTGTTGTCAATATATGCAAAAATGGATTTCTTGTAACAAGGGGAAATCAAATCCCTCTTATGCAATAGTCATCTTTCTTTAATGGTTCTAAACAATTGAATAATTCAAAATCTGTGCCCTTTTGAGGCTCTTTAAATAAAGTTAAACGGAGGACAGAAGAAACTTAGGTCTTTCCAGTTGAATCAAGAAAATGATTGCACTCACTACAGTGGTTATGTATTAAGACAGTGGATAGTGTCAAGGTCCTGTTAATTTTCTTTGGAATTCATCGTAGTTGTGCATCAAACGTTAAGAGAAGGACAGTTTAAATAGCAATGAGATTGAGAACTATGGGCACTTGCAACCAGCCCATCTTCCCCTAAATTCCGCTGGAGTTTGTTAATATCAGTATTCAAATTCCTGATTCATTTATACATCTGTTTCCATGTGGCAGGGACATTCTGATGCTTAATGAATAATGCTTTGAGTTCCACAGTTAACTTTCAAGTCTTCCAGAGGATTGTAAACAACAAACAAGGCTTATTGAATTCCATCTTGCTAGTTTTATCAGATGATCCAATAGTAGAACAGATGCATCCCCATCCTCTGTATGACATTTTCAAACCAAGTCTTAACTTTTTGAATACATTGTAGTAGCTAATTCAGGGGAGGGGAAAGCATGACCCAGGTTTTTAGACTGACTGTTTTTGACCTATGGGGCTCATTTTGAAAGACTGCTGACCAGATAAACTGTTGCTACAGATACTAGAAGTTTCTTATGAATCCAAGTTGACCATTCACTCATAGCCTAATTTAAAAGTCAGATTTTTTGCATATGAGCAAAAACCTTTTGCTGAGTACAGAAGGAGGTGGACTCTATCTACAGTTATCTTCTGACCGCTCCGACAGCTCTGGATGAGGGTAGACTATATGGAGGGGTAAATTGTCAAGCCATAGAAAGAAAATCAAAATCTTAGGAAGCATGTGACCGCTCACCATTTTAGGGGGGTACCAGATTAATTTGCACTATTAGGAATGCTAGTTTTTGTGCAAAAATAATGCCTTACCTGTTCCCCCCACCCCCAAATTTATGTTGAAAAGCTTTCAAATGTTCCAAGCTACGCTGAATGCCGCCCCCCCCGCAAAAAAAAAAAAAAACAAAAAACACCAGAAACAACATAAAGCAAAATTTTTTAAACCTACACGAAAACAAAACACACAAAAATAAAAAACCCACATCCTTTATTTTGGCTTTGAAATGCAAACAGTAGACCTCGGTTTCTCTGACAGTGTGAGGACAGCCTTGTAAGTTGGTTTCCTGTCCTGCTGGGGGTGCTGTATGAGGCCACCCCGTGGCAGCCTGCCAGGTCTACCCACTTGCACTCTCAGTGGGGTACCACTTGCTCTTTTCTTTTTCTTTTTAAGCTTTGTCTTTCCTTGTGTGTCCTGACCAAGAACTATCTTTGATTATAATCAATGTTTATGTCAAAATGTAGGCTAGTTACACTTCTGTAAAGTTGCCTGGAATGTCATTTGTTAGGTTATACACACAAATCTCAGCGAAGGGTTCTGTGTGTTGTGTACAAATCTCAATTATTTTGAAGTGGACAAACTTGTCATTACATTTGTAACTTTGTACAATTTTTCACTGTGTGCCTAGCTTGGTGTCCATTCAGCTAAAATTGAAAAAGAAACGGTGCGTGGAGAGTTAAAAATCAGAAGTTAAACGAAGTGTATGTAGAGATGACTCTTTCATATGACATGGCCCAATCGTGTATTTATTTCTACCCCTTTATCTGAAAGCATTTATAAAACTAGTTGAGGACAGCTATATTTTAAAAACAGTATTTAGTTGAATTTGTGCCTTTTTTGTCTGTATGTGAATAAATGCTGTACATTTTGCAATAAAAAAAGAAAAGAAAATGAGATCTTCCAAATGCCACAGAAACCAAGACTTAATCCCCAAACCTTAGGAACATTTGGCACTTTTTTTTTTTTTTTTTAATCCTCACCCAAGGACGTGCTTATTGATTTTAGAGACAGGAAGGGAGGGAGAAAGAGAGGGAGAGAAACATCGATGTGAGAGAAAAACATTGATCAGTTGCAACCCAGCCAGGATGAACCCACAACCTAGACATGTGCCCTGACTGGGGATCGAACCCATGGCCTTTCAGTTTGTGGGATGACACCCAACCAACTGAGCCACACTGGCCAGGGCCATTTAGCACTTTTTGAAATGGGTTAAAAATGAGTGTCATTATTGTCTGAGGGAGAGCAGCAAAAGATGGAGAGACGATCCTTCTGAATTCAAAGGGGAATTAGAAAATTACTTAGATTCTCACAAAGGGAATAATAAAAATTCTAGCTTTGTCTACATTATGGAAACTCTATCAGATAGTTACTCTATCTTACAGTTACTCTATGAGGTCATATACGTGAAGGCACTTTGAAAAAGATAGGGCATTGTGTAAAGTGTAAGTAGTAACCATAATACTTT